GGGGGGGGGGGACACGGATCAGGTGGCACAGTCATGAGGACAAGGGTCAGGGTGCAGAATGTGGGGTGGTAGCCAAGGCTAAGGGTGCAGAGTGAGGGCTGGGGGCCAAGGGTAACGGGGCAGAGTGAGTAGTTGGGGCGCAAGGATCAGGAGGCACAGTTTGGGGAGACAATGGTAAGGGTGGCCAGGGTCGGGGGTGAGGATGACGGAGGCAAGGTCAGGGGGTAATTAGGGAGTGGGGGCAGCCCCTTGGTCAGTGTTGTCATGTGAGTGGTCAACCTCTGAGGGATCAAGGATCAGTGGGTAAGGGTGAGGGGGCATCAACCACTCAGTAAGTGGGGCAAGGGTTAGGGAGCAAATGTTGGGGGCTGGGCGTGGCAGTGGGGTCAGCCCCTTGGTCATGTGGGGTGTCAACCACTTGGTAGAAGGGGACAGCGGTGATGGTGCAGCCCATGGTCAATGTCTTCATGTGAGTGGCCAGTCACTTCCCAAGAGGAGTGGGTGAGGGTGGATAACGATGGGGAGTGGGCAGAGGGAGTGAGGCTGAGTGGGGGCAGCCCCCAGGTCAGTGTCGTCATGGGGTGGGTGAACCACTTGGGGGGAGTTCGGGGGCAGCCCCGTGCTTAGTGTGTGAGAGGGTGTCAACCATTTGTTGAAGAAGTGGGGCAAGAGAGACTGAATGAGTGTAATGGGAGCAAGTGAGAGATGGTGACAGGGGGCAGACCCTGCTAAGGGTGTTTATGTTGGAATGTGCCAACCACTCAATGGGAGGGTGAGGGAATTACTGGGGAGAGACAGTGTTGAGGGAGTGGGGTCTATCATTGGGTGAGGCGCAGACCCCCCATCCCGTTCACCCCAGCGTGTCCACCACATTTTGGGGTATTAACCATCCCGTGAGAGACGGGAGTGGGGACAGGATAGGTGAAAGACAGTCAGTCCCTGGGGTTGGCAGACTGGGGAAAGAGGGAAAGTAGGTGTTGGAGATGTTTGGCAAGGGTGACATGGGAGATGGAGAGCGTATGGGAGGGGGTCTTAAAGGCCGAGGGTGGAGTGTGGGTATAGGAGTGAAGGGGTGTCAAAATGAGTGGCCATGGCGTGGGAGGGCAGAGGGTGCTGTGCGAGGGATGGGGTAGTGCGAAGGGGTTCCGGGAGGGTGGAATCGGTTGGGGGAAGAGGGTGGGTGATATGCAACAAGCAGTTGCTGCACACAAGGTAAATGGAGCAGAGTGGTAATAAGGAGGAGGATCAGGACGGGTGAAGGGGACTGAGTGGGGCAGACCAGAAGTGGTTTGCAGCAACAATATTCGTGACCAGCAGTATACATGGCACTCCAGCTGTTCTCCCACCCGAAAGATGGTGTGAAACTTGAAAGGGTTCAGAAAAGATTTACAAGGATGTCGCTAGGGTTGGAGGGTTTGAGCTACAGGGAGAGGCTGAATAGGCTGGGGCTATTTCCCCTGGAGCGTCGGAGGCTGAGGGGTGACCTTATAGAGGCTTATAAAATCATAAGGGGCATGGATAGGGTGAATAGCCAACGTCTTTTCCCCCAGGGTTGGGAGAGTCCAAAACTAGAGGGGCATAGGTTTAAGGTGAGAGGGGAAAGATTTAAAAGGGACCTGATAGGGTAACGTTTTTACACAGAGGGTGGTGCGTGTGTGGAACGAGCTGCCAGAGGAAGTGGTAGAGGCTGGTACAATTACAACATTTAAAAGGCATCTGGATGGGGACACGGATAGGAAAGGTTTAGAGGAATACAGGCCAAATGCTGGGAATTGGGACTAGATTTATGTAGGATATCGAGTCAGCACGGATGAGTTGGACCAAAGGGTCTGTTTCCATGCTGTGCATCTCAATGAGTTTGTAATTGCAAAGTGCCCAGCTGTGATTGCTTCAAATGTTTTCCTTCTGACAGAAGTGAGACTAACCAGTCTGCAGCTTCTTGCTTGGCCTCTATCTTTGAATAAAGGTGTTAAATTGTGAACCTTCACCGATTCTAAGGAATTTTAGCAAATGAGAAACAACCTAGGATGAAGTCCATCAGGACCCACAGTTTCACTGCAAAGCTCCAATGGTTTGCTCAGTGCCTCCTCACTGGTTACTGTGACTCTCTCTAGCTCCTGGGTTCCTGATTTAATTCTGATTCTGGGATGTGGCTCGTATGTTTTCCCAGAAACCTTTTAAGGTTTCAAACAAAGAACATAGGAGTAGGCCATTCAGCCCTTCGAGCTTGCTTCCTACATTCACTGGGATCGGGGCTGATTGTCCAACTCAGTCCCCCATTCCCGGCCATCTCCCCCATGTCCGTCGTACGCTCTGATCCCTTTCATCCCCCTGGGAACTATATCGTACCCCTTCGTGAAAACATCCAGTGATCCGGCCCCAACTGCTTGCTGTGGCGGAGAATTACACAGGCTGTCTTCCCAGTCTCTGGGTGAAGGCATTTCTCCTCATCTCAGCCTGAACCCATCTCCTTTAGACTGTGACCCCCCGGTTCTGCCCACCACCCCTCAGCGTTTCCTCCCAGCTAGTCCTGTTTCTGTGAGATCTCCCTCCCCATTCTCCTAAACTCTCGGTGAATACAGTCCAAACCGATCCAGTCTCTCTCCATACATCAGTCCTGCCATCCCAGGGATCTGTCCAGTTTTCCTGTTGTGAAAGTATATCTTTCTGAAAATTACAATGCCAGTTAACACGAGGAGTCTATCCATGTTTAACGCCTCAGCACAGTCAACAATTTAAAGCCAACTGCTGTGCTGGAAAACCCAAAATAGATTTTATTTGACCTTGGAATGTCACAGACTCGTAGAGATGTACAGCAAGGAAACAGACCCTTTGGCCCAACTCGTCCATGCTGACCCAGATATCCTAAATTAATCTAGTGCGATGTAACAGCATTGAACTCATATCCCTCTAATACATTCCTATCTATGTACCCGTCCAGGTGCCGCACATGCACACGCCACACAGTGTGGCCCCATCGGGCCCCCTCTATATCTTTCCCTTCTCCCCCTAAACATATGCCCCATTAGTTCTGGGGAAACGACCTTGTCTATTCACCCTATCCATGCCCCCCATGATTTTATAAAGCTCTATAAGGTCACCCCTCAGCCTCCGACACTCCAGGGAAAATAGCCCCAGCCTATCCAGCCTCTCCCTGTAGCTCAAACCCTCCAACATCCTTGTAAACTGTTTCTAACCCATTTCCAGTTTCACAGCATCTTTCCTATAGCAGGGAGACCAGAATTGCACACAGTATTCTGAAAGTGGCCCTAACCTACATCCTGTACAGCCACAACATGACCTCCCAACTAGAGAGTATAGAGCATTTATGGCCTATGCCTAATTGCCCACAGGACAGTTATGAGTCAACCACATTGGTGTGGGTCTGGAGTCACATGTAGGCCAGACCAGGTACGGATGGCAGTTTCCTTCCCTCGAGGACATTAGTGAACCAAATGGGTTTTTCTGACAATCAGAAATGGATTTATGGTCATCATTAGACTCCTAATTCCTGATATTTATTGAATTCAAATTCAACGTCTGCTGTGGTGGGATTCGAACCTGGGTCCCCAGAACATTACCTGGGTCTCTGGATTAATAGTCCAGCAATAATACCACTAGGCCATTGCCTCCCCCTGACCTGCGACTCCACTTTCAAAGAACTATGAACCTGCTTTCTCCAAGGTGTCTCTGTACAGCAGCACCACCCAGGACCTTACCATTAAGTGTATAAGTCCTGCTCTGATTTGCCTTTCCCAAAATGTGGCTCCTCACATTGATCCAGATTAATGTGGCCTGTTAAATTCCATTAGGGTTCGCCTTACAGAATATTCCCACCCTGCTCATAGAGACTTGACCACGCCTCATTCGCATTCAGCAGATCATAATTTTTGTCCAGCAGATTTAATGGATGATCTGAGTAATGATCGGCCATGATCCTATTGAATGGTGGTGCAGCCCAGAAGGGCTGAATGGCCTACTGCTGAACCCATCTTCTGTGTTTCTATGTGTCTTCCCGTGTTTCCAATGCCTCTTCCACGGACAGAATGTTTTACACCCCATCCAGCTTCTACTGCTTTGGTTAAGGAGCTGGCAACTGTTGGGCCCGGGTCCGAACATTTGTGTTTTTTTTTCTCGCTTTGACGATAACCTTCAGCTCCTCTGGATGTTGGAAGTGAATTGCCTCCCAAAACCTCACACTTCCTTACTCCTGCTCTTTTCAACAGTGTCAAGTTGGAGCCTGTTGGTGAAAAACCATTTGACTCCTCGGCCTTGTGAAGAGGGAGAGTTTATTGACTACGCAGTCTCTCAGCTCGAACCCCCCCACCGGCTTTTGACGGCGTTCCCAATTTATGCTTGCTCAGGTGCTGAAGAGCTGTCGGTGGTTCCTCCTGAAGGCACTGTAGGACTTGGTTTGATGTATTACTGTCCCAGTGAAAAGTTCTGTTTTGCAAGCAGCACAGGCAGATCATACCGTACAAAGTGCATTAGGATAACAGAACAGAGCGAGGAGTATGATGTGACGGCCGCAGGGAAGGCTCGCAGGGAGAGTGAGGTCAACGTTAGACTTGGAAATGGCTGAGTTGAGGGTTCTCGTGGTGCAGTGCCCCGAACCCTGGGCCGGGAGGACCCAGGTGCAAGCCTGGCCCGCGCGCTTGATGGGTTGGTGAGGGAAAAGCGCTTTGTGCGACGGACCATTCGTCGCCAGGGGAGGAGGGTGGTAGAGTGGGAGGTGACTCACAAGAAGGTGTTGGGTGAAAGTTGGGAAGGAAAGGTGAATTTGGAGGGGGTGGTGGTTGGATAGAGGGAGAGGCGTGTCTGTACATTGTACACAGGCCACTGTACCACAGGCAATGTGATTGAGTTAGTGTGACAGGCTTTGGGGTGTCTTTGCAAGTGACACACTTAATCCCTTGCCATCTGTCTTTCTCCTCCCACCCCGACCCCGTCAGATCAACGAACTCAACCATGTCCCGGTGCCAGTGATGCTCCTGCCTGATGACTTCAAGGCCAACAGCAAAATCAAGGTCATTAATCACCTCTTCAACAAGTGAGTACATAGCGTGCTGTGACCACCGCCTCACAGTGCATGGTGTAACCGCCTCCCCAGGGCAGTCCCTGACCAAGTGTCGCAGGGCACGCTGGTGTTTTGTATAAACGGTGTGGTAACCGTTCTGGCGATATCCCAAAGACTGACCGATACCGGCTGGGGTGAAAAACCCATCCAGCTCGGTTGTGAGGAATTGGGGGGGTGGGGGAGAAGAGAGAGAGATGGAGGTTCAGCGAGGGCGATTCCAGAGTGTCGGAGCACAAAGCAGGTGGGGATGTGGAGCGGGTGACCAGGTGGCATGACAGAGTTGTCAGATTTCCAGCATCCGCAGTATTTTCTGAACCGCTTCGCTTAAGGCAAGACAGAGCTGTAGGTTTCGGCTTGAACTGCTAACGGGTTTGTGTCGAGGGTATCCAGTGGAGTGTGCGCGCAGGGGGACTAATCAGGGAGATCTTTCAGAGAGCTAGGAGAGGCTCGACAGTCTGAATGGTTGCCACTCCACCCTCTCGCTTCTGGGTGCACACTCTCGCATACCTTTGGCTCACGCTCGCTCCTGCATGCTCTATCTGGGCCCTTCTCTCGCCTTCTCAATGGAGCTCTCCCCCTCTCTCTCCCCTCCTTCTCAATGGCTCTCCCCTCCTTCTCAATGGCTCTCCCCTCTCTTTCTTCCCTCCCCTTCTCAATG